CCTGTGGCTGTGGCTGGTCTTCCCCCTCCCTCTTCTGCCTGAAAATGTCACTTGTTTTTAAGTGCCAGTAGGCAAAGGAAAGCACAAAAACTCAGTGTCACACAAACCAAGGTTACAAACAGACACATCAATAGGTACCTCAGCAGCTCTCTATTATTTAGGCACTTGTAACAGCAACAGCTGGGTACATTTCTTTAAAAGTACATGTTGTTTTATTTTTTTTTTAACCTGATTTTTTCTTATTATTATTATTTTGGTCCTCTATCTGCAAGATGTAAATTTTCAGCTTCCACTTGAGTTAATAAAAAAACACAAATAGCCCTTAGGAAGAGCTGTGAGTGAACAGAGCACACCTTCCACCCATATTCCAAACCCGTGCCTGTAAGCAGCACTGCAAAGGAAATTTACTGCGGAGTTACCAAGCAATCCCATTCCCACCCATGTGCCAGCTTCAAAAAGCTCCTCGCACGGATTCCCACTCCTACAAACCCACAGGATCCTCTCGGGTAACTGCTCGGTGTGATTTCCAAAGAGATCTCAGAGAAGGGAGAAGTGTGATTCCCAGAGATATCCCAAAGCTCAGCAACTCAGAGGATGCACCATGGAGAGTTCTAGGAGTTCCACTGTCCAAGCAAAACAGTGGCTCGAGGAAGGGAATTAAGGAGGTGGGTCACCCAAAAAAATCGGTTCCCTTCCAAAGGTGAGGAGCTGCAAAAAAACCTCACGTGAGGAAAAAACACACGTTGAGAGGGAAGAGCAGCCGAAAAGCGCTCAGTCTTTCCCCACAACCACTACGCCTAAAAACCACCCCCAAAAACAAAAAAAAAAAACAACCAGCAAAGACATACGGGGGAAGAGACACAAACCTATGGAAGTTAATTTCATTGTGTAGCGGGGCGGGGGGGGGGGGGGGGGGGGAAGAAATAAAACACGTTTAGAAGAAGGCAAAAAGGCGGCAGCTGTGAGCGGGTCGCAGACAATAATTCGGAGTTTGCCGAGCAGACATCCGGGTGTCTCACCGAGGTAACGGTCCCCTCACCCCGGGCTGCCCGGCCCCGGGGCTCCAGGGCTCTGCGAGCTGCAGGGGCTGCCCAGGGCGAGCAAAGGGACTCTGAAGGGGCTGCCATGGGGCTGGGGGGCCTTAGGGGCAATGATCATGGAGGTTATGGGGGGTGCAGGCTCTGGGGGGCTCTGAGAAGCACAGGGGGCTGTGGGGTGGGGGGGTTGTGATGGCCATGGGACGGCGTGGGGGCGTTCTGGGGGGCAGTGATGGCCGTGGGGCTGTAAGGGCTGGAGGGGAAGGGCTGTGACGGGGCTGCGGGGGGTGTGATGGCCATGAGCGCTGCGAGAGGGCTCCGAGAGGCCGGGGGGCTGTGATGGCCGGGGGGCTGTGATGGCCGGGGGGCTGTGGAAGCCCTGAGCAGCACCGAGAGCCGGGGAGGGGGTGAGGCAAGGGACGGGCTGAGGGTGTGAGGAGGGCTCTGATGGCCGTGCTGCGGGTACGCGCTGTGCGGCACCGGCGGGCGCGACCCCCGCGGGGGGCACGGGCGCGGCCGGTTCGCGCAGAGCCGAGCGCGGCGGGCACCCCCTCGCCCCTCGGACGGTACCTGGATGGATGGATGGATGGATGGGCGGACAGGCGGATGGCGGTCGGTCGGTGCCGGTGCCGCCTTTCTCCGGCGGCGCAGCCCGGCCCGCGAACGGCGGGAGGCGCCGCCCCCGCCCCGGTGTGGGGACGGGGGATGGGGGCGCTGCGCCTGCGCGGGGCCGCCCGGGCGGGGAGCGGGGAGCGGCGCGGGAGGGAGCGCGGCGGCCCCGGTCAGGGCACGGCAGTGAGGGGAGTGAGGGGCGTGAGGGGAAATGGCGGTGAGAAGGGGAAAAAGGGGTGGGTGAGGGGGAAACGGGGAGTGGTGATGGGGAGGAGGTGAGTGGAGTGAGGGGGATGTGGATGTGAGTGAGGAGGAAAAGGGATGGATGAGGGAAATGGGGATTCATGAGGGGGGAAAGGGTTAAAAGGGGGAAAGGGTGAGTGATGGTAGAAAAGGGGTAAGTGAGGGAAAGGGGGAAATTAGGGGGAAAGAGCCCAGTGAGGGTGAAAGCGGAGTTAAGAGGGGAATGGGATGGGTGAAGGAGGAAAGGGAATTAGAGGGAAATGGAGCAGGTGAGGAGGGAAAGAGGGTGAGTGAGGGGGAAAGGGGGGAGAGGAGGAAAAAGGGGGTGAATGAGGGGAAAATGAAGGAGTGATGGTGGGAAGGAGGTGAGTGAAGAGTGGAGATCAATGAGGGGAAAAGGTTTGCAAGGAGGAAAAGGTCAATGGGGAAAAGTGATGGCAGAGAGTGTGGGTGAAGGGGTATGAGAATGAGGGGGAGGAAGTGAGGGAAAGGTAAAGGAGGAAGAGGAGCGAATGAGGGGAAAAGGGCTGAGTAGAGAAGAGATGAGTGAAGGGGAAAAGGGTCTCTCCCTGTGCGTGTGATCCAGAAAAATGCACAAAATACAGCTTAGCTGGGATCTCCCAAAGCTTTGGTGCGTGTAACATCTCTTCAGGACATTTTTCTCAACCAACAATAAAACCAGCACCATTCTTTGACATCCTCCTCCCAAATGTGCGTGTAGGACCCACACACAGCCTCTGGCACCTCCTGATAAGAAGCGTTGGATGTTTGGCAGCCACCAAGGCCACGAGCTATGGGCAGAATCTCCTTTCTGTACCAGTTGGCCTGAACACCACATCCAGCACTGACACTGCTCAAGGTCTGTCCTGGTGTCAGCTGGGCTAGTGTTGATTTTGTCACTCTGTGGTTAGTTTTCAGGTGCTCCAGGGAGGTTTGGTCTGTGCAGAAGATGGGATTTCCAAAAGAAGACGTCCCTGTGCCACCATGGGAGCTGCAGTGCCAGGATGAGTTTGCTTCCACCTCTGCTCAGTCACCCCCACCACATTTCATACCCTTTATATATTTTATTTATTTATTTGATTCAATGTGAAATAACCTGGTCAAGATTCGTCCCCACAAGCAGAAGAATCCCAAGACCTTTTTGTGAAAGAAAATGCATGACCTCATCCATCATGTAGGGAAAAAATCTGTGTGCAGGTGACCTTTCTCCACAAATACCAGGAAGATTCAGCTCTTTGAATAATTCATTTGTTTTTTATTCATGGGGGGTAGGTCAGCAATTCTTCAAAGCTCAGATCAATACAAATTATAAAGCATAACATTTTTATAATAGCTGCAGGTTCCTTTGGGGTGATACATGTCTTTAAGGGGAAAAACCTCTCCTGTCAGGGAATTGTGCACAGTCAGAAGGTCCCTTCTTAGCCTCTTTTCCTTCAGGTTGAGCCCCTTTCCCAGCTCCCTCAGCTGCTCTCAACACAAACAAAAATTCACATGGGGGATCAGGGTTCCTTTTTTCCCCAGGTAATCACAGGATTTTAGGAGAAGCTTGGTTTTTGGCAATTCTTGGCTGTGAGGATGGGGAAGCGTTGGTTGCCCAGAGAAACTGTGGCTGCCCCTGGATCCCTGGAAGTGTCCAAGGCCAGGCTGGATGGAGCTTGGTTCCCGCCTTGAACTTTAAAATAGATGAACTTTAAGGATTCTCTAGTTCTATGGCTCCTAATGCTTCCCAAGAGGAAACAGTACATCTGGGCCCTTTTAGGACACCTGACTTTCAGGTTTCACTATTCAGCATTCCCAACCTCTCAGCTCTGAGTTAAGGGCTAAAATGACACAATTCTGATTTTACTGAGTGCAGCATCTGCTGGAAGTTCAATGTTGTTAGGGAGCATTTGGGCTGTGAATAATCTACAGCAGTGGGAGGCCTGGGCAAAGCCCTGGTGAGGGGGGAAAGTGGGATTTCAGCTGAGCAGAGCTCTTTGTCAGGAGAGGGAATGGAGATGCCCCTGCTCTGGCACAGGACACCTGCCCTCAGAGCCCAAGTTAAACACCAGAGGAAGGACACTGTTATCTCCCCAAACAGGCAGCAGCCACAAGTGCTGCTGCAGCATCCTCAGGGAAGACGCAGGAAGGGGAATTAAAGCTGACACACAATTAGAATAGAGTTTGCAAGTGCTCCTGGAATCCTGGAGAAAGCAAATGGAAATCGGGCAGAAGCTATTTCTAGGATGAATTTGGGGGTGAAAGACGCAGAAATAGGCTTTTGCTAAGGACTAAATTCAAATCCTCCCAAGAATCCAAATTTAGAGTTTAAGGCTCCTGGTGTTTGTGTGCCAGCTCGCACAGCCTGGCTGCACAAGGGAAAGAAATACAAATATCATCAGCAGAGACTTGTGGCAATTAGCTGGGATGAACCTGAGGAGCTGTGCCTGACTCCCAGCTCCGGGAGCACTCGACTCTTCATGCAGCTAAAGCCAGGCTGAAGGGCTCAGCACCTCTGGAAAATGTTATCTTTGAGGAGAAGGCTGCCTTATCTCATTCCCATCACTCTTATCTGGTGCAGGTGACAGCATCAACCAGCAGGTGCTGAACTCATCCACGGCCACGGGGCAGCGAGAGGGAAAAGAACTCGAGGAAAGCGGGGAGCAGGAATTCTGCAATCTCAGCCACTCTGGAGCTGTGGTATTCCCAGCCGGGCACCGGCTGCATTCCCAGCTCCGTGGGGCCCTGCAAGCACACAAAGAGCTGCTGAGCACGGGCTGATCCCGCCGGGAATGTGGCCTTGCAGGTGAGCCGGGAGCGTGCGAGGATGGGCACTTCACCAGTCAGATGCCATTAGCAGGAACGGGGAGCAGCCAGGCAGAGCCCCGTTCCCTGCTCCTTCCCTGCTGCCCTGTGCCGGGAGGCAGCGGGAGCACACGAGGTCTCCCAGCCCCAGCACAGCAGCTCTGGTGGCTGCCATGGCACCTCCTGCTCCTTCCAGATAATCGGACAAAACCGAGCCGTGTCCAACCCGCTCCTGTCGATCTCTTGGAATGTACAATCTACCCGAAGGTTTTCACCTCAAAGGATCTTTTTGTAAAGGATTAGCTGCACCCGCCGCCGAGGAGCTGTGTCCCTGTCAGGGGAATGTCACAGCTCCGAACCGCCCGCAGTGCTTGCACAGGGTCAGCCCAGGACACAGGAGGAACCTTTAACTGCCTTCCGTGGGGACTCTCCACCTCCCGGGGACATTTCTGTCATCACTCAAGCCAGCCTCTGCCTGTCACCTCCAGGAAGCCACCACAGCCTGTTTGCCACCGAGATTCTGGCTCCAACCAACACCCCCGGGACAGTGTGAGTGAGTTTCCAGCTAATGCTGCAGCTAGGTCACTGCTTCCCACTGAACACCCCGGGAAGATCCCTGCCTGGTCACCCGGGAGATGTGAGGGTTAAATGTCCTTCACCAGTGAACTCTGAGCTCTGACCCAGCCATCCCCCTGGGAATGGCTTTGGAAAGGGGCCCTGGAAACCCACCTAGAAGAGCTTCTCGTAGCACTTGTCACAGTGGACAATGTCGCGGTGGATGAATATTTTATCCAGCAGCTCTCCCATTGCTTTGTGGCAAATTCCACACTGCCAAAGGGAAAACAAGGAGATTGGACAGTGGCCAAAACCCCACGCAGGAACAGCAGAAGGGAGGGGGCAGAGGTCTCTGCACCATTCTATTAAAAGGTGAGGATGTAATCTTTGAGGCTGCACTTTCCTACAATGGCCAAATGTCCCTGCAGGCCTCTTCCTCCCACACTCCCCATCCTCCCCACATCCCCAAACACTTTCCTTGGAAACCCTGCAGGGTTTGAGGATTCAGCCACCTCCCCTAGAGCACAAAGCAGTAAGTCTGCCCCAAGGACAGTGGGGCAAGGACATGAGGGTGTTCTGATGGTGCTGCCAAAAATAAAGAATTCTTCTTGTTCTAACAAGGACCTTCTGGGGACACCTGTGACTGTCAGACTGTTTTTGTCCGAATTTGAGGTAAGGATTTGGCAACACCCCATGTATCCCTCTGAAAGCCTGGGGATGGAATTTGCAGGAAGATCCCTGCTCCCAGCCCTGCCATTCCCAGCAGACAGGCACTGGGGCTTACCCTGAAGCAGTACTCATGGCAGTGGATGTTCAGGTGCTCTATGATGATCTTGGGGCAGTCTCGGATCTCCCGGCCGCAGTAGGTGCACAGGGGCTCGCTGGACCTGGGAAGAACAGGGCAGTGGATTCCTCTGGGATGCTCTGGTTCCAGTCCCAGCACTGGTGCCAAGGGTTTATCCCAGCCATCAGCAGCCTGCTCCCACAGGTGTGACTGTGTGAGTGACAGAACGAGGGACTGTGCTGTCCCAGGGGTGCCCCACAGCAGTGGGGCAGGACAGATCTCAGAATCCTACAGTTCTGGAATCATGGAATGCTTTGGGTTGGAAGGAACCTTAAAGCTCATCCAGTTCCACCCCCTGCCATGACAGGGACACCTTCCCCTATCCCAGGCAGCTCCAACATGGCCTTGGACACTTCCAGGGATCTAGGGGCAGCCCCAGCTTCTCTGGGGATCCTGTGCCAGGGCCTGCCTACCCTCCCAGAGGAGAATTTCTTCCCAATATCCCATCTAACCCTTCCTCAGTCAGTAAGAAGGCATTCCCTTTTGTCCTGTCACTCCAGGCCCTTGGAAATAATCCCTTTCCATTTTTCTTGCAGGGTCCCTTCAGGCACTGGAAGGTTACCACAAAGCTTCTCAGCTCCAGACTAAACAATCCCAATTCCCTCAGCCTTCCCACACAGGTGACATGTTCCATCCCTCTGATCACCTTGGTGGCCTGCTCCAGACTCTGACTTGGAGTCGCTGTATTTCCATTGAGTGTGCTGCTGTGCCACAGACACACTGCAGTGTGTTCAAAAAGCAAACCCTTACAGTCATTTCTGATTGAGACCTGCCCAAGGCAGCCCTGCCCTGTCCTACCTGTGCAGGGGAGCACTGGACAGGTAACTGTGGTGGCTGTAGCTGCTTCTCCCCAGATCACTCAAATCCACCAGGCTGCCACTGTGGAAGGAAGGAGGCAGATATCAGCACTTGGCAGGGGTATGTGGGAAGAGAATTTCAGATGGAATCATAATCCAATGATTTGAAATATTCTGGCTGCCTGTTCCTTGGGGAGAAGGTCCTCAAAGTGCCTTCCCAGGACACAGAGAGGAACCTTGAAGTACCCCCAGAGAGGACTCTCCAGGCAAAACTCCCCTGGCCTCACAAGGGCTCCATGTTTACATCTGGCCCCTACAAATAGCAGCTTTTCACTGCTAAAACTCCAAATCCTGCACTATTATGCAGGAAAAGGCACAGAGCACATCCCTGGTTTCATCCCTCATCCAGCTGAGTGTTCCCTCTCTGCCTGAGTTTCCTGGATATTTGGCTTATCTTTGGCTGCTGACAGGAGTTTTGCTGAGCTCTGGGACAGGCTGGAGATTTAGAGAGTGTAATCAGCTCCCCCAGGGATGCCAGCAGAGCGCTGAGGGAGGATAATGCCTGCAGGGAGCATCAAACTGGTGTGAACTGGTGCCACATCACTGTGAGGATGATGTGCGTGGATAATGCCTGCAGGGAGCATCAAACTGGTGTGAACTGGTGCCACATCGCTGTGAGGATGATGCACGTGGGGCCAAATTATGCTCTTGTCACACTGGGGCCAGTGTGGAGCAGCTTCACTTAAGTAGAACTCAAGGGACTGAAGATTTAAGATTGAAAATGGTGCAATTTAACTTTTTTAAAGTCATATAATAAAGTCTTTCCAGTGAGAGCCCTCACTTTCCACATTCTCCTCATGCATTCCAGTCATTGTTTACAGGTGCACGGTGAAGCCTCCCAGTGCCAAACCGGCAGGGCGGTGTTTTCACCCACCTCAGAGACCAAGCCACTCCAGGAGGAGCTCCTCTGTCCCCTGGGAGCAGTGGGACACAGGTCCTGCTGTCACCAGCACAGCAGGAGAAGAGGGCAGGACCCCACAGAGCAGAACCCACCCTCCCTATAACCCCCATGGGCTGATCGGCTCCAGCCGCTCCCTCCAGGTGGGATGTGTGAGGTGGCAAAGCCAGGTGCTGGGCTCTGCACGCTGTGTGACACACGGTGTGACACCTGGCAGGGACACCGGGTGTCCCCAACGCTCCGTACCTGCCGTGGCGTGGCAAGGCTGCAAAGCCGCCGGTGTTCACGTACTCCTTGACAAAGAGGATCCCTCTCCTGGGAAAGCGGGGAGCATTTGCATGAGAAAAGAGCCGGGCAGGGACCGCGTGTGCCCCGGACGCGTGCGGGACAGGCTCGGAGCAGGATGCTGTTCTGGAATAAATCCTGCATATCCAGCATTGTTGCTAAATAACAACTCCTCTAATTACGCCACCAAAACGAATCGAGTTAATTGGAAAGAATGGGATGGATAATGTAACCCTTTCATCCAGTTATGGGTTTGAGGGATAAGTCTTTCCCAGCTCCTCAGGATTAGGCACACAATGGGCACTCCCAGCTCCCCCTCACCACCGAGCCCTGTGGCACAGCGCTGCTCTGCCTCTGGATTATCTCCAGTGTTTTCAGCCAGTGTTAAACTGCTGCTGCTTGGTTGGGGATGTTTTTACCTTTTTACCTCCCTTGCATATTCCTGCCTTTTTCCAATCCCAGCTCCAGAATTCCATGTCCCACCCTGGTGCAGCTCTGTGCAGGCTGAGGGGAGCCCTGTGCCCCGCACCCTGCAGCCCTGACAGGAATTAATCAGCCTTTTTCCATGGTGCATTTCCACTGCTGCCTAAAAGCTGGGATTAATCCTCCCTTCTTACACTAAGACTTGTCATGGCTAAGGGAAAAAAAAAACTTTTTTTTTTTTTTTTTTTTTTTTTTTTCCCCTTAAACTGAGCATGGGCTCTTTCTACGTCATGGAGTCATGGAATCATTAATGTTGAAAAAGACCTTTAAGATCATCAAATCCAACCATCAATTAGTGCCACCACCAAACCATGTTCCCAAGTGTCACATCCACATATTTTCTGGACACTTCCACCACCAACCTCAACCTCCCCTGGCCCAGCCTGGGGCCATTCCCTCTCCTCCTGTCCCTGTTCCCTGGAGCAGAGCCCGACTCCCCCCGGCTGTCCCCTCCTGTCAGAAGCTGTTCAGAGCCAGAAGAGCCCCCCTGAGCCTCCTTTTCTCCAGGCTGAGCCCCTTTCCAGCTTGCTCAGAAGCTCCTGGGTCTCCAATCCCCTTCCCCAGCTCCATTCCCTTCCCTGGACACGCTCCAGCCCCTCAGGGTCAGCTTTGTCCTTAGGGGCCCAGAACTGACCCCTGGATTCCAGGTGGGACCTCAGCAGTGCCCAAGCAGGGGGACAATCACTGCCCTGACCCTGCTGGCCACAGTGGGTGACACCAGCCAGGCGCCAAAGCTGGATCCTCACAAGCAGCATGAGGGAATTGTGCCCCCTGGGTTGTTTACCCGGCAGTGCTGGAGTCAGGCTGGTACCCAGAGCTGTGGTGGGAGCTGCAGAGCCTCTCACTGGAACCGGAGAGGAGCCTGTGGAGAGAGGAAAAAGTCTGTGAGCCATGGCAGGATCCAAACTGGCAGCCACTGCTTGGAGGGCAGATGGACAGCACAGCCCTTTGCCAGACCTTGTCATGGTCCAAACCAATCCCTTTCTCCTTCTGCCTCTGCCACAGGACAGGACTGCTTCCCTGGAGAAGGGATTTGGGGAAGTCTCACTTGTAGGGCCACGAGCCAGAAGATCTAATGAGATCTTCCAGTGAGGATGGGCTGAGTGAGTGGGAGCCTGATTGGGAGCAGCCACGGGGAGAAAGGGCCCAGGAGGAATTGCAGGAGATGGGAACATTCCCAAGGCCAATAGAGCTGTCCCCAACTCAGTAATTTGAAGGAAGAATGCAACAAAACTATGTAAAACAGGTCTGTCCATCCACTCAGCAATGAGATGTGGAATGAGGCTGACCTTCCCTGGAGCAAATCCAAGGATCCTGTGCCTCCCCTTCACCCCCACAACTACTCCTTGTTACAGATGAATCCCTCAGCCTTACCCTGGTGGCTGCATGGAACATGAGACAGCACATGGGTGCCAGGAGGGACTGCAGGGGCCCAGGATAATGGTATTTCATACCTCCTGCCCCTTCCAACAGCCTTGTTCTGGGAGTAGTTCTGTCATTTATCCATTGACATTCTGGGGACAGTGACCCCCTTTCTTTGCTGTGATCTCTGTTTTCCTGTAGCAAAGGCCAGTTCCCGGCCAGGAACCATCTCCCCATTCTCCTGTCCCTCTCTTCTGGCCTCCCACACAGTGAAAAATTTCCAGAGATTTTTCTGGATGTATCCCAGACCCTGTGCTAAGCAGCTCTAGCTAGGAATGGTTTAAGAGCTGGTCTGTGCCTCTGGATCATGTATCCACTCCCTGGAAACCAGTCCTCCCTCTCTCAGCTCTTGGCTTTGCCTGCTGGCTCCTATGTCATAAATTTCTGGGAAATGCCCCTTGGAGCCCTTGTGACTCCCCATTTACCTGGAGCTGTTGGAGTTTAAGCTGTCCATGTAGAATGGCACCCTGTGGCTTCTCTGGGACATGGGCATGGTGGGATCTCTGGGAAGGGAGTCGTGGCTGGGGACAGGAAGTGGAACAGTATCAAGCTTTTGAGTTTGGGCACCTGAGGGATCCTCAGACAGGGTGGGAATCTCAGCTGGAATCTCCCTGCTGGGCACTGAGCCCTCCCACAGCACACCCAACACCTGCTCACAGGCAGGGAATCAGCACATGGATCAGGACACTGAGTAAGTGTGGCACTGGGGAGTTGCCTGGTTTGGGAAGCTGGGATCCCAGCCCTGGACTCACCGTCCTGCAGGGGGGCTGAAGTCCCCGTGCCCCCTGGCACTGTCATACCAGCTGCTCCTGGGGCTGCTCCCAGAATAAATGCTCCCTTTGGGATCCGGGCTGAGCCTGCCGAGGGGACACACAGCCCTGAGCACACACAGCAGGAATCTCTGCAGTGCCCACGCTGGGCTCGCAGTCACTGCCAGGTTCTGGCACTGCCCTGGCACAGCAGTGTGATCCCCGTCCCTGAAAGTGCCCAGGAAATGTGTGGATGTGGCACTTGAGGCTGTGGCTTGGTGGTGACCATGTCACACAGCTGATGATCACAGAGGCCTTTTCCAGCCATCAGGACTCCATGATTCCATCGTGCATCCCCCCATGCTCTGCCCTTTTCCTCTGTGCTCAACAGGGACAGCAGGCACCAAACCCAACACCTGAGCAAAGCCAAAGCATTCCCAAATGGATTGCCTGGAGAAGCTGTGGCTGCCCCATTCTTGGAAGTGTCCAAGGCCAGGCTGGCTGGGGCTTGGAGCAGCTTGGCATAGTGGAAAGTGTCCCATGCCAGCAGCTTTCCCTGTCTCTGCATCCTAAAGCCTTCGCCCCCAAACCCTCATCCCCAAACCCATCCCCAATCCCCACCTCCTGGTGCTGAACCCCTGGCTGTCCACGTAGGCTGGAATCCTGTGGCTGGGCACGGAGCCTCCGAAGGATTGGCGCTCCTGGAACAGGGGCACGGCAGGCTGGCACTCGGGGGCACTGGGGGCATTCTCCTGGGAGCTGAAGTCAGACCTGCTGAGGAATTTAAACCAGTTTGACCATAAAGCCAAGGGGTGTCTGCTCTGAGCAGCTCATACGAGTGTTCAGGGTCTGCTGAAGGTGGATCCTGCCACTTCCTACAGGAAGCAGAGAGAAATGGGGCACCATGGTGTTAACAGAACCACAGGATCAGGGAATTCCAGAATCCCAGAATGGTTTGGGTTGGGAGGACCTCCAAGTTCATCCCAATTCCTCCCCTGCCATGGCAGGGACACCTCCCACTGTCCCAGGCTGCTCCAGCCCCAGTGTCCAACCTGGCCTTGGGCACTGCCAGGGATCCAGGGGCAGCCACAGCTGCTCTGGGCACCTGTGCCAGGGCCTGCCCATCCTCCCAGGGAACAATTCCCAATTCCCAATCTCCCATCCATCCCTGCCCTGTGGCAGTGGGAGCCATTCCCTGTGTCCTGTCCCTCCATCCCCTGTCCCCAGCCCCTCTCCAGCTCTCCTGGAGCCCCTCAGGCCCTGCAGGGGCTCTGAGCTCTCCCTGGAGCTTCTCCTCTCCAGGGGAGCCCCCCCAGATCTCCCAGCCCGACTCCAGAGGCACTCCAGGCTCAGAGCAGCTCTGTGGCTTCCTCTGGACTCTGTCCAGCAGCTCCAGGTCCTTCTGATGCTGAACTGTAACAATTCCTGTGGGAGATCCCGCAGAGCTGTGCTCCTTCCAGGGGGAAAGGTGGCACTGGCAGAGCCTGTATTGGTTCCTGAATTCCCCAAGCCAGGAAATGAGCATTTGGATGCCTTGGGCAGGCCAGGAAGGAGGCCTGGAGGTCTGTGAGGGATGTCCTGGTCCCTCAGCTCCGTACCTGTCCCGGCGTGGCTCAGACTCGTTTGCATGTGGAATCTCTGGAGCTGGGATGCTGCTTCCTTCCAGAACAGAGCTGGACCTGCCAAGACATGAGACCTTTACAGTCTGTGGAAGCACCCTGAGCACAGAATTCCTGTGGGATGGAGATGCAGCCCCTGGAAAATCTCCTGCCTCAAGGGAAAAAAAAATGTGCAATATCTCTGTATGGAAATGTGCCAGATAGAATAATGGAATCACAGAATTGTTTAGGTTGGAAAAGCCCTCTAAGATCATCAAATGCACCACCCAGCACTAACCCAAGTCCTCAAATAACCCAAAGTGATGTGAAAAACAAAACAGATGGAAAATCCAGAACTCTTAAAAAGCAGGGCTGAAAGGAAGGACCCCAACCACGGCTCCTTTAGTGCCTTCTCCAGAGCCCCCTGCAGCAAATTCCCCACATCCTCCCACCAGGAAAAGCAGTGCCATGATCACTCTTGCCTTCTTGCAGTGATCTCCTCACTCTGCACACAGGATGACATTCCCATGTCCCTGTCCCTGCTCCCAGCAGTGTCCTGGGAGCGCAGCTCAGACCTGGGGAGAAGAACACTCTGGTCACCCTCTGACTCCAAGGTGTTCTCACTGACACACCTGGGAGGGAGCCCAACTTAACCAAGAGCCTCAATTCTTCCAATTGAGGTGGAAAATATGGACAAAAGAAAGGAATTCAGTCCATAAAGTCCTCCCATGTGGACACCAGCCCTGACTGGGGAAGTTCAAAACCAGACCAGCGTTACTGTGGAGCCCAATGACAAATTTTATTGCTTATTGTCTCTTCCTAGACACCCTTTGCTCCCAAATTTAAAGTCTAGGAAGCAACTCCTGGCAGTCCAGTTGGACAGAGTTTGATGGCTCTAGCTAAGGATGCTTTTTTCTCCCAGGCTTTCCTATAAAACCATGGTAAAAGGTTCCTCCAGTAGAAGCAGCACTGGAATCAGGCACAAGAGTGACCCAAGATGCACTAGAGGAGGTTTAGGTTGGATATTGGGAAAAATTTCTTCATGGAAAGGGTTGTAATTTCCTGGAAACGTTCGGGAAATGTGTGGGTGTGGCACTTGAGGACATGGGTTAGTGCTGAGCATGGTGATGGTGCTGGCTGATGCTTGGACTTGATCCGAGAGGTCTTTTCCAGCCTTAGCAATTCCATGATTCTATGAAAAGGAGAACCTGGGAGGATATTTATCAGCAGGGGGGAAGATGCCCAAGGAATGCCCCCTCATCCCGCAGGAAAAGGCAGGGGAATATCCAATTCCTTACCCAGCCCTGCTGGGCTCAGTGGGATGATCCTTCAGCCTGGGGGGCTCTGGGGGGGTGTCATGACCAGGAGCTCCTTGGCCCCTCTCAGTGAGGCTGGCTGAGTCCAGAAACCTAAACCAGAGATTCAGGATTGGGAAAATCCATGCTGGGATGAGCAGAAACCCATTCCCTGGAGAGGTGTGGGAGCCAGGAGCAGGAGCCAGTTTGGCCAGAGCCATTTCAAACATCCCAGATCACTGACCCCAGACATCCCTGATCTCCGACCCCAGACATCCCAGATCACTGACCCCAGACATCCCAGATCACCGACCCCAAACATCCCAGATCACCGACCCCAAACATCCCTGATCACTGACCCCAGACATCCCAGATCACTGACCCCAAACATCCCAGATATCCAACCCCAAACATCCCAGACCTCCGACCCCAAACATCCCGGATCACTGACCCCAGACATCCCAGTCCCCCCAGTCCAAACCTTGTCTCATCCCAGTATGGCTGGTGGTGGGATGGGCCCTCAGGATTTGTGGAGCTGCTCCTCTCCTCATAGTCCAGGACAGAGCTGGAAACCAGAACAACACCCATCACACCCCTAAAACCTGGCCCCTGGCCCTGGCACTGCTCTGCTCAGCAGGCCAGGCTTGTGCCAGCTGTTCCCTGGGACAGTCCATGTCCCTGTGTTCCAGCTGCTCCCAGCTCCCTGCTGCTGCTCCAGCACCCCTGGATTATCAGGGAATTGAAAGGGAGTGACTGAGCCCCACTGAGAGCACAAGAGGAAAAAAAATCTGCAGTGCTTGGCTGCTCTCAAAGGAGATAGGGGGGATACAACACAAAGCTCTTGGTTTATTTAAACCTCAGTTGTTTCCATCCTTGGGAAAACAGCAGGAGAAGGAGCCTCTTTCTGTGCCTGCCCGTTCAGGTTTCCCTTAATCCTCAGGATTGTTCCTACACCCACTAAACTCACCCTGCTCTTACCTTTTAAAGGAATATTCTGTGTCCTCAATACGCACAGGGGTTCTCTCAGTGGGACGAAAAGGGACATCAGGCTGCAAGGATGACCTAGCAAAAAAATGGGGAATTTAGAGCTTCCAAAAATTCCCAGGGGATTTGTTTGGAACAGCAACACTGTACTTTGTATGAGCCCAGGAAACAGGAAAGAATTGTCTCAGAGAACTGATTTTCCCTCAGAAAAACCCATTTTCCATCCAAACCAAGAGGAGGAGAGGCTGCTGGTGGAACTGAGGCAGTTACTGGGATTAAAGTCCCACACATCTCAGAATTTCCTGTCCTGTCCCAGCATGGAGCACCTGGACAAAGCACAACAGGAGTAACTTTGGGGAAGACATTCCTACATCACCAGCAGCAGCTCCAGGCCATGGGATCCTCCCCACCTCAGCTCAGGGGGCTGAATTCATTTCACAGAATCTAGGAATCATGGAAAGGTTTGGGTTGAAAGGACCTTAAAGCTCATCCAGTCTCACCCCTGTCATGGGCAGGGCCACCTTCCACTGTCCCAGGGTGCTCCAAGCCCTGTCCAACCTGGCACTGAAACCTGCTCACCTCAATGCCTTTGTTGGGCCAATGTAGGGAAATGAATCCCAAAATGATGGACAAGGAAGGGCAGCAGCTCCAGGGAGGTCAGCGCTGCCAATTCCTCCCTGACCTTGCACCCCTGGCAATGTCAGGGGATCAAGGGCTCTAAACTCCCGTGGGATGGAGGCACTAAAGGCAGTGCTAACGCTGCTGGATCTGCTCCCAGCATCCCAGGGCTGGAAAACCCCTCTGGGAACATTGAGTCCAACCTGTGCCCAGTCCCCACCTTGTCCCCAGCCCAGAGCACTGAGTGCCACATCCAGGCATTCCTTGGACACCTCCAGGGATGGGGACTCCAGACCTCCTTGGGCAGCCCCTTCCAATGCCTGACCACCCTTTCCATGAAGAAATTCCTCCTGAATTCCCAGGCTGCTTCTCTGGGAAGAAGCTGTGTAACAGTGAATAGAACGATGCTGTTCCCACTGTTTACCCACACAGGATTTCCCTTTTCCAGTTGCTTTGCTGCCCAGTTTGGATTCTAATCCCAGCTCTGCTCTGGATAAATTGCTTATTCCCAGCCCAGCTCCCTCTGGAAGCAGAGGGTGCCAGCCCCAGGCCCCGTGCAGGGTCACACCTGGCGTCCCCCTGGGAGGGCTCAGAGGGACGGAGCAGCTTCTCCGGAGCATCCCCAGGCGTGTGCCAGGAACCAGAACCGGACCTGGGAGAGAAGGGGGTTGGTCCCAGCAGGAGGCTCAGCAAGAGGAGAACACCAAGAAGTAAAAATATCCACCAGAAGGTTTTCCTGGCTCCAGTGGAACGTCTTTCCCTCCCTCCTGCTTAGCCATGGGAATTTCCTGAAGGGCTGAGCCCCAGATCCAACCCACTCGTCCTTGTGTGAGGAAAGCAGCTGGAAGAGCCCAGGCCTTTTGAGCTGCTGGGTCAGGCCCACCTGCCTCTGCAAGGGCTGCTCCCAGGGCTCATCCACAGGACAGTCCCGGGTCAGGAGAAACACCCCCCTCAAATCTAAAATGAAGGGGAAAAAAGGAATTTCCCACTTACTCTGGTGGGTAAAACCCATTCTTAGCTTCTGTGTGCTCAGGAAAACTGGAAAAGAGAGACACAACTTGAGGAATGTTCCACAGTGACTTTCCCATGCATTTCACAGAGGAGAGAGCAGTTCTACAAAGCCCACATGGAATCTGTTTCTCCATCAGTAAATATCCATGCCAAGATTCCAGCCAGCTCCAGAACAGCAGTTTATGGATTGTGCAATCCCAAGTCAGGGATCCCACAGTGACTCTACCTTCCATTCATGGAAACCCTGGTGGCTCTGGGGGCCCCTTCATCCCATGGGAACCTCTCAGGCTTTTCCTTCACAGCTTTGTCACTAGGAAAAAAAAAAGGAAAATTCCAGTGAAAATGGGACTTGTCAGCATTTGTAATGTATCATCCTAGAGAATTCTGCTGCTATTTGGTTGGGTTACAAAATGGAATTAAATCTGTCCATCAGGATGGGCAGGGTAGCATTCCTGAGCCCAGTGGGTGTGACTGCACATCACGGAGCCATGGACCAAGACCAGCAGGAGCCACCAGCCAGCAAGGACCAGTCAGCCCCTGGAGCTGGGACAGCTCCAGGGAATGGCAGTGGGAGGCAAAGGGAGCAGCAAAATCAAGGGAAATGCAGGGAGTGGAGCGTTCAGGGAGTGGAGTGTTCAGGGGCAGAATCCTGGAGCAGCGAGGGAAGGGAGGAGATCTCTGCCAGGCTGCAGCTTTGCCAGCAGATGCTGCTCTTGGAGTGACACCAGGAGCAGGGAGCTGCTGCTCCCGAGCAGATCCAGAGTCAGCAGCACAGAGCAGCCCCTGCCTGTTCCTTACCCTTCTCCATGCTGGGACACCATTTCCAAGGGGAATTTCCCATGGAGGGCCTGTCTGTCCTCACCATTCCTGCAGGGAAAACAGCAGGAGTGTGAGGGAGGGGGATGAGGAGCCACAGGAGCTGCACAGGAAGAGCTGCAGGTCTGGGCAATGTTCAACCTTTGGCAGGCCCTCAGCTTCCATCTGGGAATGTTTCCTCCCAGGTGTTTTTGCCCCTTCCCTGGAATTCCCTGTGTGGTGTTCACTGTTCTGTGTCCTGGAGGATTTTGTGTCTCCAGGGAATCCCCCCAGGCAGAGCTGAATTCCCCATCCTGCCCTCAGGGGATCCTGAGGCTGCTGCAGGGCCTCCAGACTCACCTGCTCTCAGCAGAAATGGAAATATTCCCCAAAGTGTCACTCAGGGATGGGGATGTTTGGCTCCTGCTGCCTGGCTCGGGGCTGCAAGAGAAGACAAAGGACAAAATTGTCATTCCTGGTCAAACCAGCTCCAGCTGCAGCAAATCTGCCCTGCACTGGAGTGTTCCTTATGGGAATGAACAAAATGGGAATGAATCATCACTCTTCTCAAGCCATTCACTGGCAAAGTCATCTTCTCAGAAGCAATTTTAAATTAAAAACACGGATTTTGCCACTTTCTACAGTGGCACGCCAAAAAGCACCGGGAAAAGGGCAGCAGCCAAAGTGCTGTGTGCAGTGAGAACTATTCCACCTTTTGTATACACCAGGCATGGATTCAGTCAAAAACCTTGGAAAATAACTCAAAATGATTCCCTTATATACCTGTTTGGCAAGAAAGGGGCTTGGAGCAACCTGGGACAGTAGAAGATGTTCCTGCCCATAGGGTGGGACTGGGTGGGTTTTAAAATCCTTCTAAAGCAGTCCAGGATTCTACATTTGGGTTTTCTCCTTTTGGGTTTTGAGCCCTTCAATCTGGATATTGCCAGATCCTGCCACGAATTTCAGCCATAAAACCTTTATTAAGAGCTCTCTGCATCCAGGAAGGGTTTCCCTTGGAAAGATGGATTTGGTTCCTCCCCTTTCCCAGAGTGGTGCCCACAGAGGTCTCTGACCTTCAGCCCAAAGTGTCCCACCCATCCTGGCTCTGCTGGAACTCTCACCTGGAGGGGGAGGCTGCTGCCTTTGGTTCATCCCAGGAAGACACAGGGCTGGTTTTTCTTAGCCCATTAGCACTGACCAAAAACCAAAAAAAAAGAAGAAAAAAAAAAAAAAAAGAAAATAGAATAAATTAACAAATCAACAAAACATTAACTCAGGTGATTTTTAGGAGCTTCTCCCATGGGAGCACAAATGCTGCTTTGTGCCCACAGCTCCTGTGCTCCTTCCTGAGCAGTGTCCCTGTGCTCTGTGGCACTGCTGTCACTCACATCTGCCTTTCTGCTCGGGTTTAGAAACTGATTTTTCCCATTTATCCCAGCTGGAGCTGTTTCTATCCCCATTGTTTCCTGGGAGGTCTCCTCTGCAAACTCTCCATGTCTGGTTGTGTTTGATAAATGCAGTTATCCCCAGAGCTGGAATCAGACATCCCACCCTGAGGAATGAGTACCTGCTGCTATCCGGAGCAAACCTGGCTGAACCCGGCACGGTCGGACTCCTCCTCTGCTGTCCTTCCTCCTCTTCTATCTCAATTCTTTCCACAGGGAGAAAGAGAAAAATGGCACATCATTTTCTCTTTTCTGCAGCTTTCCAGGCAGTTTATCCCTGTTTTCCCCCAGCCATATTTTCCCTGTTTCTTGACCAGGTTATTGCTGCTGCTCCTGCTCCCTGTGCTCCTGCTGAGCATCCCAAGGGGCAGAATGCAGCCAGGCCAGTGGGATTTTTCCACACACCTGAGTTCTTAGACTCCTGAGTGTGTGAATAGGAAAACCAGAAATTTCCACAGATATTGAAGGGTTTGATCTGCAGCCTTGGGAGAAGCTTGGATTGATGTAAAAATACAATATACAGATATTAAGCAGAAAAATAGCAAACTTCTGTTCCTATAGTTGTATGTAAGAATATATCTTAAGTAAGAAACTGTATTGGGTGAGATGGTGAAGGGTTTCTAGTGTAGTTATATAATTGTATAGACTAAGCTGAGAGTTTAGATGTTGTAATAGAAGCATCTGTGTGCATGTGAGACAGAAGCCCATTAGGCAAAAGTATAAGCAAAATTAAATAAAAGTGATAAGTTAGAAAGGCAAACTAAACCTTGAAACATCTGTTCATTAGATCAGAAAGTTCTACATTGTCTTGTAACAAAGAACTTGTGACTACTCTTGAGCTATGGCCGACTACTTACTACTTTAAAATCTCACAGCCTCTGAGACTGATGTTTATCTGAGCAATAAATTGTTCTTAGCTCAAAAATAGTCCCATTCCTTCATTGCTAACAGTGACAACAGTACCAGAGGGAGCCCTGGGCACGTTTCCCTGTCCCACTGACAGCTCTAGGAGGGAATGCCTGAGGAGCATTCTCCTGGCTGGCTGGAGCAGCTTCCCAGGAAACAGGGAGGCTGTGGCTGAGTCTCCCCAGCTTCAGGCTGTCCATAACCCAAACCACCATCAGGATTGCATTCCCAGTTTTTCCAACACTCTTTCTCCCCAAAAAAACCCCAGCAGGATCCAACCCCCAGCATCCTTTTTCAAGGAATTGTTCTTCCTCTGCTGTGAAACTCCCAGGATCTGCTACCCCAGCCTGGTACTTGCACCCAGCCCAGCAGTGCTCCCCAAGGTCCAGCACCTACCTCTTGGCAAACAGGGGTGGGAATTCCTGCGTTGGGCTGCTGTGAAGGAAGGATAAAGGAGCAGTTAAAGGATGGGAGGGAAAGACACTCCCTGGGCAGGGGCAGAGCCCACCAGGACCCTGCCCCAGGTGTGCAAGGTCCTGTCACCCCTCTGGGCAGAGCTGGCCCCAACCAGGGGTGTCAGACCAATGAAATAATGCAACAAAACTGCAGAGAGCAGCTGAAGGACTGAGGCTGAAAATGGGACTCTTGGTTGCCTTAGGGAATTAGGGACTCCTATGGATTTTCTCTTCTGGAAGTTTCATTCCTTTAAATAAGGAATACTTGGAGGATTTCCCAGTTCTGCAGAAACCTGCAGATACCATGAAATCATGGAAAGGTTTGGGTTGGAAGGACCTTCAAGACTTTCCAGCCCCACCCCTGCCATGGCAGGGACACCTCCCACTGTCCCAGACTGCTCCCAGCCCAATCCAGCCTGGCCTTGGGCACTGCCAGGGATCCAGGGGCAGCCACAGCCGCTCTGGGCACCTGTGCCAGGGCCTGCCCACCCTCCCAGGGAACAATTCCCAATTCCCAATGTCCCATCCATCCCTGCCCTGTGGCAGTGGGAGCCATTCCCTGTGTCCTGTCCCTCCATCCCCTGTCCCCAGCCCCTCTCCAGCTCTCCTGAAGCCCCTCAGGCCCTGCAGGGGCTCTGAGGTGTCCATGGAGCTTCTCCTCTCCAGGGGAGCACCCCCAGCTCTCCCAGCCCGACTCCAGAGGCGCTCCAGCCCTGGAGCAGCTCCTTGGCCTCTTCCAACCCTAGAGGTGATGTAGGCCCAGCCAAGCCCCCACCAGGATCCCCTGTCCCTGATTCAGGCACAGCTGGAAAGGAAAGCTCCTGCTGTGGGATGATGGGCAAATATCCCATCCCATCCCATCCCATCCCATCCCATCCCATCCCATCCCATCCCATCCCATCCCATCCCATCCCATCCCATCCCATCCCATCCCATCCCATCCCATCCCATCCCATCGGGATGTGCTGGAACAGGGCCGATGACCCAGCCCTGGCTCCCAGCAGCACAGTGAGGATGACATCAGGGATTTTCAGGCATTAAGGCTTGAGCACCCCCAGCTCTTTCCTTGTAGCAAAGAAGCTCCAGCCCTTGCAGCACCTGTGGCCTGTCCTGCTGTGTTGGAGAGGTTCCCTTCAGCTCCAGCAGCCCTTCCCTGGCTCCTGTGCCATTTGTCACCCTCTGGAACTCACCCGTTGCTCTTCTTGGCCGCGGACAGGACGTAGGCGCGCTCGCGGCCGGCCGAGCGCCGCAGGACACTGTTGGCAGCCTCAGTCCTGGAGGGGAGGGGGACAGCGAGGGAAGGGTCACACGCTGCTCATCCCGACCCTCCCGCCTGGCTGGAGCCTTGGACGGGCAAGAACAACCCATTGGAGGCTGGGCTAACCCTGAACGAGCTCCTGCGCTCTGGGGAGCAGATTGCATGGAATCGTGGAATGGGGAAGGTTGGAAAAGGTCTTTAAAATCTGTTGGAGTCCAGGACATCCCTCTGGCTGCCCTGACTGTCTCCAGACCCTGGCAGGGGGCTCGGGGACCCTGGCATGAAGTCAAAAACAGCTGTGGCTTCAATTTTAGCCAGTGAGAGAAACTGCCGATTTTGTATGAGGAATTACAAGCCACAAGGGTTTGAGTAGTGTGGTAGTTGAGTTAACACAGCTGCTCTGGGAACCCTGTTCCAGGGCCTGCTCACCCTCACAGGAACAATTCCATCCCAATATTCCATCCATCCCTGCCCTCTGGCAGTGGGAAGACAGAAATGCCCTGCGTCCTGTCCCTCCATCCCTTATCCAAAGTCCCTCTCCAGCTCTTCAGTGGTTGGACCCCAGAGGACAATGACCAAAGTGTCCTTTGCACAAGCTTTGTGGCTGAGGAAAAAGGTCCTCAGAAACTCCATCAAAAGCAACGAGGCTGAAGCCAGAGAGACCAGACCTGTTCCTGCTCCTGTGCCCCACCCCTGGCAGTGCCCAAGGCCAGGCTGGACAGGGCTGGGAGCAGCCTGGGGCAGTGGGAGGTGTCCCTGCCATGGCAGGGGTGGCACTGGATAGGCTTGGAGGTCTCTTCCACCCAAACCATTCCGGGATGATTCTTTGATCCTATTCCCAGTAGGAGAAGGACAGCCCTGCCCGGAGCTGACCTCGGGTGCCAGTCCTGGAGTGATCCCGGGGCGCACCCGCAGTGAGGGGAGCCGGGCTCCTCCCTGCTCCTGTTTGTGCATCTCCATCTTCCCCACGGACACAAGGCAGCTCAGGGACCCCACAGCCCTCCCTCCCAGCTGCCTGGGTAATTGGGCCGAGCTGTCAGGCTGGATCACGTCAGGATTTTAATGCCGTTCTGTTGGCAGCGCGGTGGCCCGTGGGCAGAGCAGGGCTCGGGGCAGGGAGAGCTGTGATTATCCTTGGACTGCACCCAGCCCTGAGCCGTGCCTGGATCCACCAAGCCTCCAGGATGGAACAGAATTGCTCACTGTCCCTGCAGGTGCCTCCAGGCCTCACCTCTTCTTGTGCTCATCCGGAGAAAAAGGCACAGCTTCCTCCTCCCCGTCGGATTTCTGCCGGACGTTGTACGGAGCTCTGGGAGGGAGGGAAGGGAGAGCCAGGGTCAGGGAATTGCTGCTCTGCCCGGGGCAGACACAGCAGGAGCCAAACAGAATCCAAGGGACTGGTTCAGAGCCTGGAAGACACCTGTATTTTCCATAGGGGTGCACATGTCCCTGAAGGACCTTTGAGGCCCCAGCCCCATTTGGGATCAAAGCCATGCTCTGGGACACAAAAAGCTGGGCAGGAAACACCCACAGTGCTGCCCTGCCTTTTTCCAGGCTTCAGGAAAACTCCAAACCCAGTTCCCAACTTCACCCTCCATTCCTGCCTGGTGATACTGATTCATGCAAAGGCCAGTGTCAGCTCAAGGAGCACCTCCTGGCCCACAGAGAGGTGGCCCTGGGAACCACTGCAGTGTCCAGTGGAAGCTCTGGAAGCTCCAGGGGCATTCCCAGGGTTCACACAGAGCAGGGAATGGAGGAGCTGCTCCCTTTGCCCACTCACAGTTTCTTGTAGTCCTCCGTGGTCATCCTGTATCCAGAGGTGGAGCGGCTCTGTCCCTTCAGGGAAGTGCTGGGGGGACACAAACTATGCCTGAGATTGTGACCTTCCCATCCCTCCCCACCTCCTTCCCCAGGGAAGCTCCACAGGGAGGGGGACAACAGTGTCACCCCAAATATCCCCACGCTGATTGCAGGGAATGCTGCTCAGCTGGAGGGCAGCATTTGCCTCCTTTTCAGGAGGGGACAGGAGGACACACTCGTACTTTTTCTGTGCTTGGCTGGAAGGTGAAGAATCCGGCGTGGATGAGCTTTTATCGATGGTCTTGGTGAACACCCCCCTGGGGAGGGAAGGGACATCTTACATTTTTGGCTGGAAAATGCTTGGAGCCAAGTTCAAACCAGCAGTGAAACAACAGGGCTGGCTCTTGACCCTGAGCAATGGATTGTTCCCACCTGATAGAAGCCAGGAGGGAACATTTTCTGCCCCTGATCCAGTTCTCCTCCCCCTGCAGCCCAGATCTCTCCCATTCCATACCCACCTGATGAGGTATCCAGACTGGGGCTTGGAGGCAGAGGACCTGTGCAAAGAACAGACATCAGGGAGTAAAAATCACAGGGAAAACAACAGCAGCAGCACCAGGATTGAAGGGGAATGTCCATGTGCATGTCAAACCAAAAATCCAGCTAAGCAGGCCTGGAGGGATCCCACAGCTGGATTGACTCTGGAGGGATGTTTTCAAATGAATAAACAGAACAAGCCCTATAAATGATTTTTTTTATAGGGCAATGAATTTTAGAGTGAGCCAATTAATATTAGCCATGTGTTCTCTGTGTTCTCTGGCCCAGGTTGGTGGCACAGGAGGGGGAAATCAGATGTGATGCAGATCCTGATGATTTTATCTCTGGAGAGCAACAGCTGCACTCCAACTCCTCCGAGGTGCATTCCCAGGAGGCAGCACAGTGTGGCTCCTCTGGAGAGCACTGTCTGACCAGGAGAAACAGGGAAAGGGAAGCAGGGAAGTGCTCAGGGGAGAGGGCAGAACTCTCACACAGGGCCAGGCCCTTCCCAGGAGTTTGGTATTTCAGGATATTGCTCCAAGCTCTGGAGTTCCTGGAGACCCCTTGTGCTCTGGACCAAATTCAGCCCCACCCAGGGCCCCCCTGCCCTGAGGAGCCCCTGCTTGGGGCACTGAGGGGCTGCACCAGCACAGCAGCTGATGTCCCATCCCAGCCTTGTGGCATCAGTGGCTCAAAGGCTGAGTTCCTCTGAATTAAAGTCATCCCTGCATCCTGCTGGAGCTCTCAGGAGCCAATCCATGCTCTCTCCAAGGAGAGCCATCCCTGGGAGCAGGGCAGTGCCCAGAGCTGTGCTGGCAGCAGGAGCTGAGGGGGCACACAGTGAGGGCTTGCACCGACCCCAGCAGACAGCAGAGCAGGGAAGGAGCAGGATGGGCCCCTGGAATTACCTGTCCTGCTGGGGAGCAGCAGGTTTGGGGGCTGGGGATCCTCTACCAGCCTGTCCAGACCTGAGGGAACAGGAAACACAAGGATGTGGTTAACTGATTGCAGAGCATGGGTTTGGAGAGAGGGGAAGAGAAAGGGGGATGTGGAGCTGGGTTTGTTCCCAAGTAAAGAGAAGCTGGAGCAGACTGGTTTGTTCCCTGGCACAGGGCACTGTGTGACATCCAGGGAACTGTTTGATCCCCTGCCTCTTCCATCCCAAACTCCCTCCATCCAGGCCTGCCCTGAGTTTGTCACTCCGAAATGCTGAAGCACAATCTGGCTTCACAAAACTTTGGAGCTCTCCTGAGCTTTCCAATCTGTCTGTGCTGCTGAATTCCAGCTCCAGCAGAAGACACTTGTCCAAGCTTCTGGCCACCCTGCATTCATCAGAAATAAACAGGAGCAGACATTCCTCTGACAGTGTCACTGCCTGGCACCACGGGGACCCCAAAACCTGTCACAGCCCACCAGAGTGCCCAGAGAGCCCAGAGCTCCAGGAGTGTTTGGACACTCGGGCACAGGGTGGGATCCCTGGGATGTCTGCAGGGCTGGGGGTTGGATCAATGATCCAACTCAGGGAATTCTGATGGGGAAAGGGAAGGAGAAGGAAATGTTCTTACAGGGGGCTGCTCTTCTCCTCATCCGAGTCCGAGTTGTGGTGCTGGATCCAGCTCTTGTCCCCCCGCAGGGTGGTGCGAACCTTCATCTGCCGGATGATCCTGCGGCGATCCTCGTCCGTGGGCAGGATCAGCCCTCCTGGGAGAACAGGGACAGGGAGGGAAGGACTCACAGGACCCCAGGGCAGATGGGATCCATCCCAGCATGGAGCCCTCTCCCCTCTGTCAGAGGTTCCAGTGCTGGGTGAGACTTCCACCAGCTCTGATGGAAGATGGAGACGTGGCCATCCAGACCTCAGGATCAGCATCCCGCTGGATCCCCGAGGTTCACACAGAGTTTCACACCTCACTGAAACACCTCCCTGGTGGCCTGTCCCAGCAGGGACATTCCAGCAGCTCCAGCTGGGCAGAGGAAACCGAGGAAAAGCAGGAGAGGAAGGAATTACCTTTAGCGACACCGAGGGACATCATGGTCTCAGCAGCACTTTCCTCTTCTGCCACTGCTCACAGCCAACAAGCCCCTGGAAAAAGTGGAAAAGGGGATAAGCAAAATATCAGCTGTGGTATAAAACCCTGGCAGGCATGGGGAGAGGAGAGCACAGCCACAGCGGCACAGCAGTGGTGGCACAGCAGAGCATGGGGAGACTCTGGCCTTGCACCAGAGCTGGGATTCCTCCCCAGCCATGAACCTGCAGCATCAAGGACAGGGAAAATCAAACCCAGCCATGCCAGAGGTGTTTTTCCAGATCTGGGAGGAAAGTGGTGGAGGAGACCTTGCAAAAGTGCCCAGAGCCACTCTGCTGGGCCAGACATTCTGGAATCCACAGAACCCCGAGGATCCCAGAGCACCCTTGGGATTTGTGTCAGGTGGGATGAGAAGGATCCAGGTTAATTCAGCACCTGGCTGTGTTTGTCAGAAATTGTTCTGTTCTGTTTGCACTCCTGGTTTTTCCATGCAAGCTGGGGGATGAGCTTTTGGTTTTGGAGGAGAAAATCCTGCACTGAATCCCTGAATGGTTTGGTTTGGATGGGACCTTAAATCTCCTCCAGTTCCAAACCCTTCCATGGCAGGGACACCTTCCAGCTTTTACCACCCCCAGTCTTCCCTTGCCAAAACTCTCTCCTGGATTCTGGACTGACTCTGTGAGCCAGAAATGAGAAGGCCCAACCCTCTTTGGGAGAATCTAAAGGCAGGCTGCTGTTCCCTGCCAGTGGGCCTGTCCCTGTAGTATTCCCGGGAAGCCACATGCCAGGGGGAATGCTGGGTGCTGAGCTCATGGCACTGGGCTTGCCAAAGCCTCCTCCCTGGCTTGTCTCAGCCAGGGATCTGCCCACTGCTCATCCCCTGCTCTTCCCATCGGGGAACAATTCCCCAAGGTTCCTCTCCTCTGGGAATCCAGGGCTTCCCTCTGGCTGCCCTGGCAGGTCTGGGACCCTGGCAGGGGACAGGAACCCCCCTGGACAGAGCCCCCAGAGACACTGTCTGTGATCTCTGCCCATGGAAAAGAGTTTTCAATCTCACAGGATCAATTACAAGCTCTGAGTGTTTGATGTAAGTAATAATTAAGTGTGGCACGGGTGCAAAAGTAAAATTTTAGGATTCTATATTAGGGGTCCAAAGGGGACAAGATGGAGGAAATTGGGTGTGTCTTGTCCTTTTTCTCCTTCTTCATGCCCTCCATGTTTCACTGTGGTGTTGGCATTTTTCTGTTGGTTCAGGCTGGGGACACACTGTCCAACGTAGGTGACAGATATTGGCACGTTATTGTAAATCCAGCACAGGTAGTTTGTGGTATTTAATGTTTGTACCATCCCACTGAGGGCAGAGCCCCACACGCTGCCCTGCAGGACAGAGCTGCGGCAGGGCAGCAGAACATGTTAGAGATAAACAGAATAAACAACCTTGAAACAGCACAGACCAATTATGGCTTCTGCTTTGGCAGCGGGGCTGAAAGACAGAGACTTTCTACAATCTCAGAATCATCAATACTACAGATTCTGACACTCTCCCTCAGCAAACATTCCCAAGCATTACACCCACCCCTGTGCAATCCAAATATGCAACAGGCAGCTGATATTCCAGTATTCCTTCTGGTATTTGGAATAACCTGTGGTTTATGGTACAGCTCATGTCCCTGGTACATTAAATCCCTCATCTTGTCTGCTGGATAAATGCACCTGGTGCTCAGCTTTGGATATCAGCCTCTGGGATGGAGCGCTGGGATGTCCCAGGCAGCAGGAGATCCATAAAAATGGTTAATTCCTACTGAGAAAGCATCCAACATGAACCACCCAGCACAAGAGATAAATGTCCTGTCTGCACAGGAACAAAATCCCATTAAACTGTGTCCCCAGACTGCACACTCCAAAGGAAGCTGCTGCTTAAACCTGTGCTAAGTAACACAGAATCCCTATTTCCAAAGACATGGAACACCACCAAGACAACACACACAGGTCGTTCCCACCTCTGGGAAGCCCTGGGGCTCACGGGCAGCTCTGCTGAGATCCCCTGCTTTGGGATCAAGCCTGGCTGCAGTGTCCCACTGAGGACACTGAAGCTCCTCATCCCTGTGAGGAAAGCCATCCCAAGCTATTTAATGAGGAAAGCAATTCCAGGCTATTTAATAAGGGAGCTGGAACCTTGTTTGGATGTCAATGTTCAGGGGCTCTGGGGCAGAGCCCAGCCCAGCTGACCCTCCCCATGCCCTGGGGTCCCTGCCCTGCCTCTTTCTGTGCCCTGGAGTTTTCAAGCAGCTCCAGCACCCCAAATTCATCCCTGGCAGGGAGTGTCCCCTATGGATCACTGCCCCGTGGGATGAACCAGGGAGCACCTCCAGCTGTGCCCAAGGCTACAGAGCTGCCTGGCTCTGGAGGAGGTGACCTGTCCCTGCCCACCCATCCTGTCCCTCAGCAGTGCAGGCACAGCCACACCAACTCTTCCCTAATAAATTCTTCAAGTGTGAAATCAGCAGCCCAGTCCTTAATTGGAAAGAATCTGCTTTCCACAGAAAGCACTTAAACAGCTCCAATTACCCTGCAGGAGATGAAACACTTGCTTGTTCTTTCAAAGCTGCTGGGAGCTCCTCTTCCCTGCTAGCCACCCTCCTTTGTGATGGCCCAGCTGGGACTTTTAAATGTTCAAAACAAGTGCTCAGCCTGCTGTTTGTAGGGCACCGGGGGTAATGGTCCCTTTGTGCCCAACAGCACCTTGCTGTCCCTGTGCTTTGGGATCAGAAATCAGGCGACCCCAGCTCAGGGAAGAAATGATGATGTCTGGCTCCAGATCAGAAGGCTGAAGGATTGCTTTATTAAAACCATACTACAATACATTAATATACTATTTAAAGATATGTTCTACTATTCTACAGACTTACTTCTTATTTACCTAACTAACAAACCCGTGACTCTCTGCTGAGAGTCGAGACACAGCTGGATCATTGAACCCAAACAACCTTCACCAGAATCCAACCCAGCAATCACTTCAGGTAAACAATCTCCACACCAAATTCCACGTGGGGAAAACAAAGGAGCAGAGATAAGGATTGTTTTCTCTTCTCCTCTCCTCTCTGTGCTGAGAGACAGAATTATGTTTCTCTGTCCAGAGAATGTGAAGGTCACACTTTGGGGGTGAGCTGGGTCTGAGTAGGACCCAGCTCTGAGGATTGAAGGAATGCCCTGGGAGCTGCTTTGATCCCATAAATGCAGCTTTCCTGGGACTGCTGAAGGGTCCATGCAGGCAGGCCAGCCTCAGGCCCAGTTTTGTTTCCTGACTGTGGGATGGGACACCCCAAGCTCCTCACTCACTTTCCCATCCCTGTCTGGGTCAGACTTTTTTGGGACAGGAGCCCCCAGCTCCCACTGCTCCCTCCCCTGTCCAGGCAAGGCCCTGGATGGATGAGGAAGGTCCCTGGGTGACCTTGAAGGTCCCTTCTGGCCTCGATGGCTCTGGGACTCCTGGACAAGGAGCAAAACTCTATGTTCCTCCCACAAAGGGCATCCACAGATGCCAACCTGTGCCCTCACCAGGGTTATTTCCCTCAGCCCAACACCCAGGTGGCATCACTGATGGTCCCAGCTCTGAAGCCATCCCATCCTGCCCACGGTGATGGGGGCTCCATGGTGGTCCAGGTCCCACTCGAGGTGACCCTGCAGCAGCTCCAGGCTCTGCTCCCACCAGCTGAGCTCTGCAAGGATCTCTCCCATGCTCTCCCTGCCCCTGGCTGCCAGCACAGGACTCATTTCCCCCAGGACTGGGCACTAATGGAGGGCTTGGCCTTGACCCCGGGCTGCAAACAGCACCCAGGGCAGTCATGCGGAAAGAGCTCCTGGTCTGAGGATAATTGGTGCTGTCCTGACCTTCACAAGCCTCAAATTAAAATGTATTTAAATCTTGCAAGAGGTTTGAACCTCCTTCCTTTGAGCCTCCTCAAGCCTGATGAGAGTTTTGGCCTCCAGGCCTAGCTCCAGGCCAGGTCCCCACTTCCATGTGAAAGGTGGGAACTTGTGGATTTTTATTTATTTATTTATTTATTTATTAATGTTGAGATTAAATGTGTGAAATGGTATTTCTTGTTTGGCCTTAGATGTTGATTGCTTTTATTTATATTACATATATATTACATATATATAGTATATTTATATTACATATATATATACTGTATTTATAAGTTGTGAGTTTTATAGTACTTTACTAACAAACCAAAAAAATGGATTTGTACTTTTTCTTTTTATAAGGCCTTTTAAGGATAAACTGTCTAATTAAGAAATGATAAATTATTTTTATTTTTAGCTGAACTAACTACTTGTGGTTTGTAATGTAGACTTATTTATTTAATTACACAATACTACTTAAACTCATGAAGAAGAAGGTGAGGAAGAAGGACTAGCTACTGCTTTAAAACTTCTATTTTGGTATGTATATTATTATATTCTAAAACCTTAAACTCTAAGTTTTCTACTATGTAGCATAACACACTTTTATTCAAACTATGCACTTATAATCTCAGTTCTGTCATTCCATTTTGGGAGCCTTCTCCATGGCCTCAGGTCAATGCAGAGTTCTCTTGGGGGGTCAGTGCCTGGCAGCACAGAAAATCTGAAATTCTCAGCAGCCAGTGTTCCAACATCAATCTGATGTGGCACTCAGCAGCTGGAGCCCAGCTTTTGGGCACTCACAGGAAGGAGAGCAGGGGGAGAGGCTTTTCCTTTTCCTTTGGCACAGGTTACCTGGCCCAGCAGGCAGGTCCAGACCCTGGCACTGCCCCTCTCCCTGAGAGGGCACAGACTCGAATTTCTGTGCACCAGCCCTGGCACACAATGCAAACCTTGTCCCTGCTCTGCCCTGATGTCACCCGACACCTGATCTGCTGAGCAGGGACAGCAGGAGCTGGAAGGAACCCTGCCAGACCCACCTTAACCCCTGCCAGACCCACCTTAACCCCTGCCAGACCCACCCCAGCCCCTGCCAGACCCGCCTTAACCCCTGCCAGACCCGCCTTAACCCCTGCCAGACCCGCCCCATCCCCTGCTGGAGCAGCACCTGGGCCAGTGGCTGTGACATTTTAAAGCCAGTATTCTAAAAACTGGATTTAGTTCACCTTTGAGCTGTGACTTGAAGCACATCCCGTTCCTGGGAGGGATGGACACTCCTCTGCTGCTGTCTGCTCTTGGGGGCACAAGGAGCAACGGGAATTGCACCTCAGGCTCCACAATGGGAAGTCCCAGGCTGCAGCTGAGGATCTCGGACACCTCCTGCACACAGGGGCTCTGTGTTTGGAGTGGGAGGTTCTGAGGGAGCCTCTGAAAGTCCAAACCCAGCCTGAGGCCCTGGCACAGGTGCCCAGAGCAGCTGGGGCTGCCCCTGGATCCCTGGCAGTGCCCAAGGCCAGGCTGAGCACTGGGTCTTGGGATAGTGGAAGGTGTCCCTGCCATGGCAGGGGTGGCACTGGAGTGGCTTTAAGGTCCCTCCCAACCCAAACCAGTCTGGGATTCCAGGTTTTAGACAATGCTCAGCACTGAAGGACCAGCTTTTTATTCCTGCCTTTCCCTTTTCCCATGCAGTGACTGTTTGATGCTGTTCCATAAACATTGGGGATATTTAAGAAGCACCAGGAGACTTCTAAAGTCAAGCTATGAACAATCAGGAACAACAAGAGGCTGCGGAGTTTTTCTTTGGAAGCACGGGTTGGAGAAGAGACTTTACCACTACACGAGACCCCTGAACCAATCCCGGGGTTCTCACAGAATTCAATAATTGAAACAGACCAGGCAACCTTAAATCAAACATTAAATTCACCCTTGTGGGCTTGTGCAACACAGCAGCTCATGCCTGCCTGGTTCATGAGCCAAAAGCACTCCCAACCAGAATCCCTGAGGCTGGAAAAGCACTTTGGGATCATCAAATCCAAACCGTGTCTGACCCCCACCTTGTCCCCATGCCAGAGCTCTGAGTGCCACCTCCAGGGATGGGGACTCCAGACCTCCTTGCCAAGCCCTGACCACCCCTTCCAAGGGGAAATTCCTGCTGATGTCCATCCTGAAGCTCTGTCCTGACCCCCTGGTGGCTGCAGCAGAGCCTGGGGGCTGTGTGGGAGCTCTGAGGAGCTTCATCCCACATCACCACATTCGCTTGGGATCTTCCCTCCATCACCTGAGGGCAGTGAAGGTCTCTTTTTCCCTGAACTTGGGGAAAAGGGATGGAAACCTGCAGCTGGAGGGGGGAAATCCTGCCCAGACCTCCCGAACAGGAGCAACACAGACCCATTCCAGACAATGCGTGAAAAGCTGCAAACGCACGGTTAGAATTTCCCTTTGTTCACTCACAACCACACACCCCACCAAAAAAAAAAAGAAAAAAAAAATCTACTTGAAGCTGGCACAATCTGGAGCTGCTGAAGTCAGGGAAGTGTGGCTTGAACTTCCTGAGAGCAGCACTCAGCCCTGCCCATCCCCAGGTTTGTCCCGGGCTCCCAGCAGGACCACCCCCAGTACAACTCACCCCCGCTACTGCCAGAAATTCTCAGGTCATTTTCACCATCCTGGGTGTGCAGTTTCATTGCTCTAATTACATGGAATTAATTCCTAATTGCTCAGCTAATTTCTGGGTTTAAAAGGAAGGATGTGCAGGACGATCACCACACCCACACATCGCTGACCTTGAGCCTTGATGTCTAAAGATGAAAGGAAAAAGGAAGGAAAAATGGGGTTTGTGTCAAAGGTGGAGCTTTGTGTTTGTGTCACGGACCCACAGACAGAGCAGGACAAAAGCTCTTTGAAGCCTCGTTACCTCACAGAGACACCACAAAGTTTTGCCAAGAAAACACAACTTTTTTTTTTTTTTTTTGGTAAAAGAAAGCTAAAATCTGCCACTTGTGGAAATTAGGACTTCCATTTAAGTCCTGGTATTTTTTTGGGGGAAGAAATGTACTGAATCATTGGCTGGATGAATAAAATAAAATATAATTAAAAAAATAAAACATCCTCAACAAAACCTCCTGGTCCAGCTGAGGAGGAAGGATATCCCTGCTTCCCAGCCTGCCCAGCTGAGTGCAGCTCATCCTCCTCTGTGGGGTCTGTCCTGAGCAGGGCTGGGACAGGGAAATGGGGTGACATTCCCTGGATGAAGCAAGGACAGAGGGAGGTGCTCTCTCCTCCGTGCCAGCTCTGCCACTCCTTCCCAGGGTGCTGATTTCACACTGATTCGGGGACAAACAAAACAAGGCAGAGCAGCAGAGAGGGTGAAATCTCCCCTGTGTCCCACAGGAGCTCTGGCGGGGGGGGGGCTGGGGAGGCAGAAGGAGCTGGAGCTCCCCCAAACCTCTCCAGAGGTTCTCGGGGCTCACAGGATTGAATTCCCCAGAGTTTTCCAGACCCTTCCCCAGGTAGGGCACAGCCGTGCCCCACGGAAATCCAGAGGGGAAAGAGGTTTCAAGGAGCAGACAGGTGCAACAAAACCCCAGAGCCAAACCTCAGCCGCGCCCCGTTCCTGCAGGAACCCCATCCCTGCAGAACCCGCACCCCGGCAGGCAGAGCCACGCTTGGATCCGAGACACCCCCGGACAGCCGCACCTGCATGGAGCAGGGGGATTGTCGGTGTCCCGGTGTGTCCTGCCCTCACACAGCTGCAGAATCCCCGCTCCCGGTCCCGGCCGTACCTGCGGAGTTCCCCCGGTGCGGTCCCGTCCCGGCTGTGGCACACCTGAGCCCTTACCTGCCGAGAGGGCCGGCCCCGGGAAAGCCAAGCCTTGTTTTGAGGAGGAGACTTGGGTGTGTTTGGCCCTTCAGGGGAATCAAACAGGTTTCTCCGTTCGGCGGCACGGGCTTCCCCTCCCTGTAGGCTCTCCTCTGCATTCCTGGCATTCCCCAGCGAATGCCACGCTCCCCAGCCCTGTGCTCTGGCACAGCCCAGAGCAGCCCCCCAGCTCTCACCCCGTGGGGTTTCTCCCTGTGGCAAGCACTGCCTCCTCCCCAGGCAGGGGGAGCAAGGACCCCGATACTGCTTTGGAGCGGTGGTACCCAGGGAGCATCAGGGAGCGGGGCTGTAATTAACCCTCGACACTGATTGTCTACTTGGAACTCATTAACGAGGCCCACAGGTGTGATAATCCCACAGGAAATTACCGGGCATTCCGCTCTTCCTCACTTGATTTCCCTTTCTAATTGCTCTGGTCACCGCAGGGTCCCCGAGGGCCGGCTCTGGGGACAGCCTGGCACAGCCAGGCCCTGCCACTCGCTTTCTGCCCATCTCCAGAGCCTGGCAGCTGGGGCTGGGTGTTTGGAGCTGTCCTGAGGAGTCAGGGCTTCAGCCTGGCCCTGCCACAGCGTGGGAAGAACCAGACTCCCACAATGGTTTGGGTTGGGAGGGACCTCAGAGCCCACCCAGTGCCACCCCTGCCATGGCAGGGACACCTCCCACTGTCCCAGGCTGCTCCAGCCCCAGTGTCCAGCCTGGCCCTGGGCACTGCCAGGGATCCAGGGGCAGCCACAGCTGCTCTGGGCACCTGTGCCAGGGCCTGCTCACCTCACAGGGAACAATTCCCAATTCCCAATCTCCCATCCATCCCTGCCCTCTGGCAGTGGGAGCCATTCCCTGTGTCCTGTCCCTCCATCCCCTGTCCCCAGCCCCTCTCCAGCTCTCCTGGAGCCCCTCAGGCCCTGCAGGGGCTCTGAGCTCTCCCTGGAGCTTCTCCTCTCCAGGGAAGCACCCCCTGGAGCAGCTCCGTGGCCTCTTCCAATCCTGGAGGTGATGTAGGCCCAGCCAAGCTCCCACCAGGATCCCCTGTCCCTGAAAGGAAAGCTCCTGCTGTGGGATGATGGGCAAATATCCCATCCCATGCCATGCCATCCCATCCCATGCCATCCCATCCCATGCCATCCCATCCCATCGGGATGTGCTGGAACAGGGTCAATGACCCAGCCCTGGCTCCCAGCAGCACAGCGAGGATGACATCAGGGATTTTCAGGCATGAAGGCGTTCCTGCTGCCCCAGATCTTCCCCTCGGATCTGCTGGGGCTCAGCAGCAGCCGGGCTCAGCCGGGCCGGGCTCGGTGCTGCCGTGCCGCCGATCCCGGCTGCGATAAGCCGGGCTGCTCCCAGAGCCGCACCCGGAGCTCCCGGCGGGCTCGGCTGTCCAGCTCAGGGAAACCAGAGTTGTTCAAAGCAGGCTGGAAAACGCAGCCCAGACCCTTCCTGGGACAGCATCCCCTGCTCCAGGGCTCCAGCTGACAGTGCAGCTTTATTTTCGGTAAGCCCTGAGTCATGCCAGGGTTTGCTGAAGGTTTGTCCCGGCTCTTCCCTGCAATAACAGTGAGTAACAGCCCGGCCTGGCCAGCCCTGCAGGTACAGGAGGTCCCCAAGCACAACAGGGACACCCAGGGCTCTGGTTTTTCCCGGTGGGAACACACTGTTTCATGCTGAGTGTTCAAAAACTGGGCAAAAATAAAAGTATTTGTTATGAGCACCTCAACATCAACACTGAGCAATGGATGGGGAGCTCCTGAAGCAGCACCGAGGAGGTCACTGCTGCCTGAGGAGATGCATCCCCACAGCGTGGGCAGCAGGACAGGGATTGGGATTCTGCCCCTCTGCCCCCTCAGGTGAGACCCCACCTGCAGAGCTGCCCCAACCCTGGGCCAGCACAGGAGCGAGCTGGAGCTGCTGGAGAGATCCAGAGGAGGGTCCAGGATGAGCAGAGGATGGAGCAGCTCTGCTGGGAGGACAGGCTGGGAGAGCTGGGATTGTTTACCTGGAGAGGAGAAGCTTTGGGGTGACCTCAGTGTGGCCTTGCAGGGCCTGAAGGAGCTGACAGCTTCTGCCAGAGGCTCAGGGACAGACTCCAGATTTCTGTTAGGGAGCTGCTCACAGTGGAACTTCAACAAGTCCAAATTCAGATGCTCCAGGAAAAGACGCCAATCTTGGTCTCTCTGGCAGGAGCAGCCCCACCTGGAGCAGCACAGGTGCCCTGCACACCTTTGGAGGAAACCTGAGTGAGCTGAAGTCAACAAAAAGTCCTTTATACTCATCCGATCTGAGTGGAATCCAAGAGAGGAATTTTTAAATTTTCCCACTGAATCTGGTTAAAACCAAGAGGATCTGGCTTGAACCCCCACCCTGCAGGCCTGGCCCCCTCCTCAGCCACCAGCCAAGGCTCAGGTACAGCTGTGCCTGAGCCCAGCCCAGAGCAGGAGCAAGGTGCTGAATCCCATGCCAGCCCCCCAAGTTCTCCAGGGACACACACACACTCCTGCAGTATGGGAGAGCAAGAAAAAAGAGTCTTTTCCCCAGCTCCAGTTAAAAACATTATTGTTACAAAATCAGTTTCAGCCTGGAATATTTACTTTACCAGGAAATGGATTTTTACGGGATCTCCTCTCTGAGGAAAGCACAAAGATCCCTTTCTCAGGAAAATATCCCACAGCTGGCACTGACTGATCCTTGTTGTGCCACTTCCAGAGCAGCTGGGTGCCAACAGCTCATTCCTGCAGGAACAGGGATGTCTGCAAGGAACCTGCTCACCCTGGAAATCCAGGCAGCCAATTTTATGGGAAGGGGGTTTTACCAAATCATTCCTATGGCAGATTCCTGCCCAGAGACAGCCTCACAGCCCAGCCTGTGTTTGAACAGCCACTGCAACATCCTGTAACATTTTTTTTCACTATTTTCTGGTGGTGAGAAACACAGCAAGCCCCCTCCAGAGCACTGAGCTGCCCTGGAACATTTCCTGCTTTCCCCATCTCACTTTCTGCAGCCCCTCCCTGGGCCAGGTGAGTAACCCTGCAGTCCTGTGGTGCTTTGCAGAGCTGCCACCAGCCCCAAGGCCCAGCAGGGCCGGGATGAGTCGCAGGGTGTAAAACCACTACACCCATTTGTTACAAGGGAATCAAACTGGTTTTTCATGAGGTGTCACTGCAGAGCTCTGCCAGAATGCCAGACCTCACCTTCCTAATAGCAGGTGGCAGCAGGGCATTGTCTATCCCAAACAATTCCCTGCAGGAGCACGGCGATCTCCCCGTGGTCACGGACACACCTGCACACTCCTGGGGCACAAAGTGGTGTCAGCAGAGCTGGGGCATGACAGGGGCAGAGCTGTGGCGGGGACACCGTGGTGCCACCACAAAACCCAAACCCGCTTTGGCGCAAGCAGGGAGATGCTGATTTATCCTCAGCAGCTCAGCGAGCTCCCTGCAGGCTCTGAGGCAAACAAGCTGCTCTTCCCCCTGCCCTGACAGAGCCTGGGTTGCTTCACTCTCCCCCTCATGGGCCTGGCACCAGCCCGGGGCTTGCACAAGAGCAGCGAAACTCGGGAGAGGATTCTGCCAGGAAGAAGAGCCAGCCCATCCTGCCATGGCTGGGAGGTGTGGGAATGTCCTGGTGCTCCCTGCCATCAGCACCTTGGGGTAACTGGATGTACTGGGATAGAAAACACCCCTTCCACAGCTTCCCAAAATGCTGAGCTCAAGCCCTGCAGCATGTCCTGCATCCCTGTGTCTGGAAATCCCCCAGTGCAGGGTGCAAATGGCACACTGCTCCCAAACCTCACTGAATCACGGTGGCTCTGGCTTGGAGGGGACCTTAAAGCCACTCTTGTTCTGTCCCACAGACAGGGACACCTTCCACTGTCCCAGCTTGCTCCCAGCCCTGTCCAGCCCGGCCTTGGACACTTCCTGCACACCCCTGGAGTGCCCTCCGAGCCTTTCTGCTCCCTGGACATGCAGGGTCATTTCTGACATGCTTTCATCCATTTTTCCTCTTACCTATTTCTGGTAATTACACCCAAGCCACCCTTTTTCCTCTCTGGAGGTGATCTGGACCAGGGCTTCCTCCACGTTCCAAGGGCAGCACTGAAAGAAATTCCTTGGACAATCCTCCTGAACAAGTTTCCTTTGCAATCCCTGTAACAGGGTAATGAAGGTTTTGGTTACCTTAACTCCACCTAGAAAAGCACTTGTAATCCTCTCTCCCTTCCCTCCCTCTCCCTTCCCCAGGATAAGCAGCAGAACATCTCTCTTTATCTCTCCCACTGCCAAAACCAATCTCAGGTCAGCAAAACTAGGAGCTGCAGCAAGGAAAAGCCAGGAAAGCAGAGAGAGGGAGATAAGGAGTTTGATGAGAGTGCTCCAGGGAGCTCTTTGAAGTCGTGGGGAGCTACTGTTGAGTGTTCCTGCCAGGGACAGGCTGCACCTGCGTTTCATCCTGGATGTTTGGAAGGAAAGTTTGATAATGGCAATTTTACTTCACAGCCTCTGCTTGCTGATACACACCAAATACAGACTGGAAACCATAAAAATCTCTGAATTGTTTGGGTGGGAAGGGACCTCAAAGCCCATCCAGTGCCACCCCTGCCGTGGCAGGGACACCTCCCACTGTCCCAGGCTGCTCCAGCCCCAGTGTCCAGCCTGGCCTTGGACACTGCCAGGGATCCAGGGGCAGCCACAGCTGCTCTGGGCACCTGTGCCAGGGCCTGCCCACCCTCACAGGGAACAATTCCCAATTCCCAATGTCCCATCCAGCCCTGCCCTGTGGCAGTGGGAGCCATTCCCTGTGTCTGTCCCTCCATCCCCTGTCCCCAGCCCCTCTCCAGCCCTGTGCCAGGGCCTCATCTCCCTCCCAGGGTGTGGATGCCAGCCTGGTCAGAGAGAGAGAAACGACATTCGTTTCTCACAGTGGCTTGTGAGAACTTTAGGGAGTTGTAGGAACTGTGATAACTCGTTAGTATAAACAACCTGCAGGTGGTGCTTTTTCTACTCTGTTTTTCTGTTCTTCTCAAGGACTGTTTGTGAGAAAGATGCTTTTGTTAATTAG